AGAGATGGAAGGGACATCCTGCATTTGGATTAAACACTTGTGCTGGAGAAAGGAGGAAAGGCGGGCAGCTCGAGAGAGAGAGAGAGAGAGAGAGAGAGAGAGAGAGAGAGAGAGAGAGAGAGAGAGAGAGAGAGAGAGTCACGAGAGGATGGGGATGAGGAGATAAAGAGAAAAGGAAAGTCAAGAGAATAGGAGGAGGAGAGAGGGATAAACAAAAGTGAGAGTAGAGGTTTGGTGGAGAGGAGCGAGAGACGGGAGCTGAACATGATGAAATGAATGCCAGGGAGAAGCAGTTCAGACCTACCAGATGGTTGCTATAGCAACCAACATTCCCCAGCCTCTCTTCTCTTCCATCTCTCACTCTCTGTCTCTCTGTCTACAGTTGCTTTGTTGCTGCTTTAACTCTGTGGAGGGAAACCGACGGCTGAGCAAGACAGCTTTTTGCATTTTGGTGCAGTGGCATCATAAAGCGTTCAAACAAACTTGTTTACATTTAATGCGAAAGCTTTTTTTTTTTAACACAACGGTTACTGATTTCTGAGTAACACAACTCGCACGCTGACGCAGAGGCTGTGTGTCATGATAGGATTCTTAAATTAAGGTTTATGTCTTTTAACGTGTTGCATAGCAACGCATCAGAGACCAGTGTTGGTTGTTTTGGGCCTCTGACCCTTCCTTGCGGTACAGTAGCTCCGGGATTGCGTGGTTGAGCAATGCTGCAAAAAAAAACTGCAGACAGATTGAAATGCAACGAGTGTTACCCTCTAGCTCCACAGCAGAGCGGTACACAGTTTCATACACAGAACAAGCATCGGATGTCTCCGTCGAGATCCCGCTTGGCTCTTCACAAATTCCCATGGAACACTCTGTTATACACAAACTGCACGTTTAAATGCATCTCCATTTGTCCAAATGAAGATGCTCAACACAGGGGGGCAAAATGAAGACCCCCCCCCCCCCCCCCCCCCCCCGCTAATCTCATGTGGAGATCATTTTCAAAACAGAACAAAATGGTGGACCATCTCTTTGTGGCTGAGTGGGTCTCCACAGGGCCCCCGGGGCAGGATGGCATGTAACTGTGTACGTGTGCCTTCTGAATAAAAGATGCTGACCCAGATGGAAGTACGCCATTGGTCACTTAATTTGTTCTACATGCTTGATTGGCTCACTCTCAAACAGAAAACGCTGCTAATCCATCGACTGGAAGTTGTGGTGGTCATGTACAAAATGTATAAAACTTTTATTTCTGTGTTTGCACAAAAAAGACAAGAGAATATGAAACACTAGAACCTGAGAGAGCAGAAAATTTATACTGTTATCAGCCCCCTCCTTAATGTACATATCAGTTTCTTTATCGCCTATGTGCTGTCTTTTTGTTTTGTCTCAGCTCCCATTTACAAAGCCTAATTGCCCACCTTTGGGCTTCTTTTTTCCTGCAGATCATCAAAGACCGAGTCATAAAAGAAAACATGAGCGGCATTTTCATCATCAGCCGAGGCACAGCTCACTGATGCGGACTGTGCTCGTGCGATGTGCGAGCCCCGGGACCACGTGGGACTAAACATAGTACATATGTCTGCAGGTCTGCAAGCATGAATGAGCCCAACTCAAAGGGTGTTTTGTATCAACACTGTACTGTTGAGCCCTTCTACATTATTTAAATGCAATTTGACTGCCTGCCATCAGTAAATTATTAAATAGCAGAAAATTGTTGAGCTAGGGCCTGACAGCCCCGGAGCTCTTTGGCCCCACTAGATGAGCGAACATGGCCGACTGATCATCAGTGGCTGTTGAACTCCGTGCTGCACGACTGAACGAGTGCGCACCGTGATCCATTTCGATGAAGAACTCAGGGCTGCTTAGCTCTCCGACGCATGTTATGTAATAATCAAGCTGTTTGTTGAGTGAATTTGTGGGGTTTAGTAAAAGCTGGGACTTCCTCTGGAGAAAAAAGGGAGGCTGAATCCAGATGGTTGCCAGGACAACCTTGGGAGGAAATCTGTGCCTCAATCTGAGACACAACACACCAATTCCTCTATCTCATCTACCTCACATCGTTGATCATTTATCTGTAATTATTTAAAACAATCTGGTCTCACATGTCTGATTAAACTAGTTGGATACAAGTGTGCAAAGAGATTCAAAAACATCGGATTAAATGAAGTTAAGGTTTTAAATTTGATTTGAACATTTAGAAGTTTTTAAGTTCAAATACACAGAACTGTATCTCAGAAATGTTGTTTTTGATGGTGAGAAGTCCTGTAATTGACTTGAAATTACACTAAAATCAGGAATCAATTTTTCTAGTTTGCTGTTTATTTGAAGCTTCTGAATAAACCAATCAAGGACAAAAATTTAGTCCTTCAGTATTTGATTTCCTCCATATTTTCTCACTCATCTCTAACTGTCGAATGCATTGGGTAAAAGTTTTCCTCTTAGTTGAAGTGATAAGGTGTTCAGAAACTCAACTGCACATTAGGTGAATCTATGGTATAGTGTGACTGAAGGTTTGCATTTTACTGTTAGTTCTTTGTTCTTCTTCTTACGGCTCTTGGAGAGTACAGACGCTTTATTCCTCCTCTCCTCCCTGTCTTATCCCAAGGCTCTTTGTCTGTATTTGGGTGTACGGCGCTTCAGCATTTTTTCTGGAAACTAAAAATTATTAAGAATGGATCTGGCCAGTTGGTTTCTCAACGCGATTGACAAGATTTTTTTCAACGATGAGAATGGGAGAAGGGGCTCCCGGATGCCCCTCTGGGACAGAGCCAGTTGGGCATATCATGGACTCCTGCAGGGGAACCTAATCTGCCTCTCACAACTGTCTGTAGAGGATTCTGAAGACGTGTGGATATTCGTGGTGTTGGTGTCAAGATTCCTGCCATTTGACCTGAGCGGTTACTTGGCTTAACGGAAAATCAATGAGCTTTCAAGGAATATTGGCTCAATCCCGGAGCTCAGGGATGGATTACACAGTGCTGTGAACGCACAAACTCATATAATTGTCGAGATGAGTTGTAAGCTTGGAACTTTGGCTGAGATTCAGACTCTGGCACAGAAGGTGGATTCGATCAAGGAGCGAGTTGACGGGACAGCACGTTTGGGAATAGATGCATTTACGCCATTACTGGACTTAGAGGGGTTGGAGACCAATGGAACTTTAAGACAGAGAGGAACTTATCTCTGTCTGTCCCCAAAACAAGTTCTTATCTGAATCTGGTGCCCTTGAGCCTGTGAGGCTGAAGCGATTACTCCCCCTCAGAAGAAATGTGGAATGCTACAGTTGCCATGGCAACTCTGTTTCCCTATCCCAGCCTGGGTGGGACTGCGACCGGTGAAGACCGTTGAACCGTTTCCAGGAGTCACTGTGCTCTCTAACCCAAATACCTCCCTCCTCTGTCCAAACGGAGGTGACGAGCGCTGCTCATCGCGGCTGCACGCACTGATGTGTGGAGAGTCCCCAACCCTACCTCCCCACCTAGTGGACACTTATGTTGTGTAATGTCTGAAGTCTGTTGCATTTCTGTCTGAGGTGTTTTTTTGCATAGCAAAGCTGCCCTCCCTGTGGAGGGTAACTCTGAAGTGCCTTTTTTCCCTCCACCTGACTCAATCTTCATGTAAACCCTCTGATCTCTATTAAGGTAGCACGACTCGGGTTGCGAATGACCACAGTCACCAATTCTTGTCATGTGTTTATGCCTATGTATGTATGTCTGATCTCAGAATTGTGTGTACTGAAACTCAAATTTCCCTCTGGGATTAATAAAGTATCTTTGAATTTGAATTATTGTGCATCCCTTTGTTAATATCTCCTCTACAAGTTAAAATAAACACACTGCAGGATTTTAAATGGAACAACTGCAATAAGTTGAGTTTAAATAGTCAATCGTACTGCTTTTGCTGTGAATTTTTACATTTAAAGACACAATAATAAGATATTGTGTGTTTTTTCTTTCCTATGTGTGTTTTGCAGTTTCATTGTTTATACAGCAGATCTGCTCATTTATTTCTTTACTCACAAAACAACATTTCTCTTTGACTTATTAAAAGAAAAACTGTGATGAAAGCTTAGATTTATATCCCAATATACCCATTTATGCCGCCATCAAACATATTTGTAGAAATCGCTTTTCAGAAGTTTGGGATCAATGAAACAAAAGCGATGTCATTATTTTAGGGGCGAGAAAACAAGTTACTAGGGTATAAAATAAGTTACTTTCCATTTGTCTTAACATTAAATCATCTAATATTTATATTCTTTCGTGTTAGTTTGATGACTGAAAAGCCTTTTCTGAAGAAGCCGAGCCTACAGTGCAATGGATCGACAGCAAGCCGTTGTGTCCCCATTGAAATTCCTCGTTGATGTCCAGCTTCCACCATCAGCCTCTGAGCGAAGCCTGAGGAATACCAACCAGCTGTCAGAGCTGAACTCCTCTGATCTGTCCTTTTTCCTTTCACCCCGTCTCACTTTCCTCTCCATTTTTGTTTTCTGCTCCTCATCGTTGACTGAAAACAAGTGCTGCATCACCATTGTAGATTCTGTTGTGTGTGTGTGTTCTCGCTCCCTCCCTTGCTAAAGATGCACAGAGCGAGCAGTGAGCAGAGAAGAATCAGGTATGAATCCTAATGACTTGTTCTAGCAGGATGGAGAGGTTTGGCCTGAGGAGAATACATCCTTCCTCTCATCTTGTCTTTCACCTACGGGCTGCGCCTAAATCCTGCTCATGTTTATAGGATTTGTCATCCATTGATTTAGATTAATTTGCTAACAATGGAGAACGTGGACGTTGTCATGGTAAAAACATCATAAACATGGAGATAGACTCCTTCGTGTACCAGTGGTGAGATAGCCAGCTCATCTACATAATGTAAGACATTCACTGCTATCTTACAAGCAGATGCAAGCAGCTGGATTGAGCTTCCCCCATAAGGTGGCTGGACTCAGCTTTAGAGACAGGGAACGATTCAGACATTGAGAGAGCCTGAAGAACAAAGTGAGTCACCTGAGGTGGCTTGGGCATCCTCCTGCTTGCCTCCCTCTGGAGGTTTTCCAAGTACATCCCACTGGAAGGAAAACACAAGGAAGAACCAAAACTTGCTGGATGAATTGTGTGTATCGTCTCCTGCCAGGGAGTTCCCAAGGATTCCTCTAGAGGGAGCTGGGAGAGTGATGTCTGAACTTCCCCTCTGGACCTATTACTTCTGCAGCCTGACTTTGGATTGATGGATGGATTGATGGATGGATGCATGGAACAAAAACAAAAATGCATTTTTTAAAACATAGCTGGGGAGTATATGCATCAGTCCATTTGCATATACAAATATCCCCCATCCATCTTCTGATTTTTTAAAACTTCCAAGCAAGCTGCAACAATATGTTCTGATCTCAGATTAACTGTCTTTTCACTAATTCGTGATTCCCCTTAATCCAGTGTGTAAAGGACTGAGTTAAAACTGACTTTGTTCTCATGTAATTAGCCAGATAAAGTGGTGAATTACAGACCTCAGTCGGAAACAACTAATTATCTTTTTCAGACAAATAAATCTAATCTACTTCGAATTTTCTTTGCATTTCCATGTTACTTGTGAACTTTCTATCCAGTAGACCGCTAAGTAGACACAATGTTGGAATGCATATGTTTATAAAGGCTATTTAAGCATCCCTACGACACACTAATTGTTGAAGCATGGAGGCGGGTTTAACTGATTCAACATTATGTGTTTGCTGGCTGCGTTCACACTGTGACATTTCCACTTTCATATCCTTTCTCTCACATTCATTGCTTGAAAAAAGTCGTCATGTGGAAAACAAAGTCCATTTCTCTGCCGCTTCCAAATTCTCTGGAGACCTCAAACCTTCCCTTTACTCTTTTAGTTGCTATGGATACCTCCAAGAAGGCAGCCGATTTGAGGCGGTAAAGAACTCTGCTCTTTGAAGTCTTTTGTCATCGAACTGATGATCTAACAGTTACAAATGTATGTTTTCACTCACCCACACACACACGAGAGAAGCTAAACGTGAACTGATACCCATGTGTGGTGTTGTTGACTGTTTGACAGGACTACAAAAATGACTGTAATCTCTTTTAGCACAATCCAAAGCCATTGTCGTCCTCTATCTATCTAACCCAGCAGATCAGATGAAATGTGTGAAATCAATTCTGCATTTAATCAAGGAGCTGCCAGCTACAGCAGGCCTGCTTCTGAGGTTACAGCGGATGGTACAGGAGGCCAAAATCAGGTTGCTAACTCCAGTTACTGACTTAGATGTGTCTCAACTATTTGTTGTCCTGGATGAGAGGAAGGAATATATAAAAATAAAAGTCATGCACTGTGCACTTAGAGAATACTTTGAAACTTTTGGTGCCACAACCTGTTTGCATAGTGCAACCTAACTGAAACTGAACAATTCATTATTTAGAGGCACAATCTTCCTGGAATATCTAGGTTGATTGCTGATATGATGCAAATCAATCAGGGCTGAGTTGATGCCAAAGAAGCTGCGTAACGCTCTGAATATGAGATAGGGACAGCTCTCGGCAGCGGCTACATCACCAAATTATAGCTCAGCATCTATGAAGCTGGCAGGGCTATTGTATTGTTTTATTGGATGATTTTGGGAAAATATTTATGCAAAAATGAAGAAAAAAAATCACCGCTACTGATGAGAGGAACTCACAGAAAGGAGAGAGATGAAGCAGTTTATCAAGATTTTGTGAGCAGTAACCTGCTGTTAAAACTGCAGGTTTAAACATTTTATGCAGTATTTGAGCTGTGTTGTCTAAGTCCTAACCAGCCTTAGAGAGAGTTAACAGCCAGGCGCAGCCTACATCCAATTTAGAATCACCAATTAACTTGACATGTATGTGTTAAGCCATGGATGAAACATATAAGTCCCCTGAGGGTGCCGCTGAACTTATCCACACTCCGTACAATCAACCCATTCAAGCAGCTGGTTCAGAACACAGACTTTGCTGCTGTAAAGTAATCTTTACCAAACACTGAATCATTGTGCATGATAATATATTTTAGTTAAGCATACATTCTGCAACAACCTACTTAAACGATTCTTAACAAATGAGATTCAAGCAATTTACATTAGGCTACAAAACACAGTCATCCGTGATTTTCAGGTTTTCAATGATTGAATAAGGATCTCGTAATATTACCCAACATTCCTGCTATATAAATATATGAATATGTAGAAAATGGTGTATTTTACTGTTGAAAACGTGTTTTTATTTAATTTTATTTTTAAGCCAGAAATTTTTGGTTAATTTTACAAAAACAATAAAAGCTGACACTTATTTTCATTCTATAACATGATAAAAGATCAAAAACCTTTGTCTTGAACATTTATCAATAACATCTTAAATCAGCTGCCACACCTGACAAAGCAGGATTTTGACAGTGATGTAGGTTTCTTTGAGGTTATTTCTAAATGCTGAACTGAAGTCAGCTGGACTGTCTTTCTTGCTTCTTGATATTGTTTCACATATTATTTAAAAAAACCTCTTAAGACTTTTAATAAGAATTGAAAAAAGCTGTTAGGATCAGAGTTGATACATTTTCAAGGATCATGAAAGAATCTCCAACATACTTTAATCTGGTAGATTAAGAAATTGGTCGTTAACCGTTATCCAGATCTAGTTTACTAATCTTGTACACACCCCTGCCCTTGATCAGGATATAAATAAACAACTGCAGTGTGAGTGTAAATGTATGTGTTTTTACAGTTTTCTATGCTGAAGTGATGATAGATCCTTGTCTGTGCAGAGGGTTTTGGCGCCCTCTATAGATTAAACAGTAGATTCGTGTAATAAAACAAAACTGCCAGACTCGAGGCATTTGATTTTGCATTAAGCTTTTAAGGATATGTTTCTGAAAAATTCTCCAATTGGCTTTGGTTTTTATTTATTCATTTTTAATCTATAAGTAATTTAGAGATGAATAGCGTGCTCTTAACTAGGAACTGTTGTGGCTGGCTTTCAGATGACACCCGGTTGCTTTTGCCGTTGCACAGTTTTCCTAATTTGGCACGCCATTGTGGAAAATAGTTACTTTCACGTTACGGTGTGGCCATTTAGAGCTAGCCTATCTGGTTTATTTATCCCAAGTTTATCGGCAATAACAACATTCCAGTAATCTACCCCATAATGGCTACAGACTCCTGGGCACAGGCAGTGGACGAACAAGAGGCCGCAGCTGAATCGGTGAGTCTGAACTGACGCAACGAGTCTGGCAGCTAACCCGTTGATAGCTCTGGCCTCGTCTAAATTAAAACGTATTGTTGGTGTTTCATTTTTAACACTTTAATACACTCACTGCCAGTCAATGGAATATTTTATGATAGTTTATTTTCGTGTAGTTTTGATAAACTAATAAAGAAAACGCCTCACGCTAGAGCCAAGTTAGCTTAAGCTGGAAATGTAGCGTTTAGCAGGCTAACGGGCGAATTTACTGAAATTAAAGTTTGCCACGTTCCGCCTCACAGATCAGTAGTCTTCGCATAAAAGACAAACCAGAGGAAAATGGTGAGTTTACTTATTTAAAATTAGCTAAATTTTAAACTTTCAGCAAACAACGCGACACTGACCTTATTAATACTGTCGCTTTTTGCAGGGACGGTCTTAAACGCTACAGACTCGAGCAGCGTTGCTGCAAAACCAGAACCCGAAGGAGACTGCAAACCTACAGATGAAGATGATAAAGGTACGAAGTGCAAGATTTTACCCTCACTTAAAATAGGGGCGGTTTGTTATGACTGTGCTGTCTGACTAACCGGTTTTTATTGTTTGTGCCACAATGTTTTTTTCCCCCCCAGATGACAAAGCAGCACAGTCACTGTTGAACAAGCTGATCCGGAATAATCTTGTTAATACAACAAATCAAGTCGAAGTTCTTCAGAAGGACCCAAACTCTCCCCTTTACTCTGTGAAGTCTTTTGAAGAATTACGACTGTAAGTGACTATTTCATTCTGTAAGTGCGTTAGTTTATCCATCCATCCATTTTCAGCCGCTTATCCAGCCGGGGTCGAGTCGCAGGGACAGTTGACTAAGCAGGGAGGCTCAAACTTAACTCTCCCCGGCCACCTGGGCCAGCTCCTCCCGTGGAACCCCAAGGTGCTCCCTGGCCAGCCGGGAGATGTAGTTCCTCCAGCGTGTCGTGGGTCTTTCCTTAGGTCTTCTCCTGGTTGGACGTGCCCGGGAAACCTCACTAGGGAGTTGTTCAGGAGACATCCTAGCTAGATGCCAGTGCCACCTCAACTGGCTCCTCTCCATGTGAAGGAGCAACGGGTCTACTCCGAGCCCCTCCCAGATGACAGAGCTAGCTCTAAGGGAGACCCCTGCCACCCTGCAAAGAAAAATCATTTTGGCCGCATGTATCTGTGATTTCATTCTTTTGGTCGCTGCTCAAAGCTTGTGACCATAGGTGAGGGTGGGGACGTAGATCAATCAGTAAATTGAGAGCTTCACCTTCTGACTCAGCTCTGTCTTCACCACGACAGACCGGTACAACGCCCACATCACTGCAGATGCTGCGCCAATCCGTTTATCGATCTCACGCTCCATCTTTCCCTCACTCATGAACAAGACCTTGAGATACTTAAATTCCTCCACTTGAGGCAGAACCTCATCCCTGACCCAGAGAAGGCTTCTACCCTTTTCAGACTCAAGACCGTGGTCTCAGATTTAGAGGAGCTGATTCTCATTAGTTTATCTGTAGTACTAAAACCAGCTAGTTTCAACATAGCCCACTTTGACAGACTCACTAATTTCTATGAAAAGATGATTAATTCTTTTGTTACACATCTGAGAAGTTAGAATCATTTCAGGAGCAAAAGATTATATCAAAATAGACAAGATGTTGAGCCTTTTCTTTCCGAGAAAATTGTAAAGAGTATCAAAAGACAGTCTCTCAGAGAAGTCATCAATGTAAAGTAGGGCAGAGCGATATGGGCTAAAACTTGTATCTCTACAATATACACATCCTATGTACAATGTCATCTTGATATTCTTCCTCATAAATTATCTACAAAACACCAGTAAAGAGTCACACAGGAACTTTGATTTAAAATATAGTTGAAGCAACTAAGGGGGGGGGGGCTTTATCATAATATTCTTGATAATATAGTAAATAGATATTGTCTGAGAATGTATATATGATGATATGCTAATTTTATGACATAATTTCATCCACTATGCAGATTACGCTCATGTGATCCATGGAGCACTGAGATAATAAAGCTATGAAGGTGATTCTGGCTGGAATCTCTCAGTATTCACTCAAAGTAGTGATTAGGGAAAGATATGTGGTAGTTTCTGGTGTCATTTTGGTCAATGCAGCCCCCTGTACTTGTTACTTGGTTACACAGGGAGGTTGGCTTCTCTCCCCATACAAACAGGTAAAACAGAACCTGTCTGTAAATAGTCTCACTGAAACACAAACATCCCCCCAAAATTTTAAAACTGCAAAGTTTGGGGCAGAACATTACCCCAGCAATTTTTATGAATGAAATAACAAGTTTTCTGTACTTTTAAGCTTTAAATTCAACTTGAACAGAAGAATTACAAAAACATTCACCCCCCTCAGAGCTGTCACTAATGTAAACTAGATCTATTAAACCTAAAATGGTGTTTTAAACCAGGCTGTAAACATGTTTATCTCTGAGCATTGTTAACATGGGAGTCCATGAGGATTTGCACACTTCTGCTGCCAGACCCTAGTGGATGAGGGTGGAACTGCAATTTGTGCCGCATCCTATTTGGCTTCATATTTGCTGCAGAATTATGGGGGTTTGATCAACTCGTACGTCACCTCCAAGTGTCGCAGGGTCAGAATCAGTAGCCTCCTTCGTGATGTCATGATGTCATCTAGCTCCATGGTCACGGCAGGAACACACATGTAGCAATAAGCTAGAAAACAAAAACATAAATAATGTTTAAACTTGAAGGTTGTAATGAAGATTAGATGATGATTAAAAATAAGTCACCTTTGCTACACCTGCAAGGCTTAATGTTAGCCTGGACCATTTGTATCAGTCAGTCTGACAGCAGATTTCTCAGGTTAATCTAGCCTGAAAAAAAAAAGATGTATAACATCTTGTTGTGGGAGGTAGCTTCCAGAGATGATGAGAAACACGTGGAAAGCGGAGCGAGGATGGTGCAACAGGTTTATCTGTTAAAAGATCAGGAGGTCTTGAGGTAAAATGGGATGTTGGTGTGAGTCTGGTTCTAGTAAGCTACTCCTTGCTGCTCTGAGGAGGAGATGTGCTCATAGAGCTTGCACTGTCATTCAAATGGAAGCTGGGATCAGAAGATGATGCATCACACCTTTGTTCAGGGGTGTAGAGGCTCCTCTGGGACTTTCTAGGAAAGAACTTCCCATCATGGTCTGTACGTCAGCACATAATCGCCCGGACATATAAGAAAATGTGATAACCACTTGGAGTCAAACGGAGAAATAGAAAGTTAGCAAAAACACGGCCTGTCTGTAAACGCTGGACATTCATTGGTTGAATATTTACTTTGATATAAAATTTACTGGTTGTGCAACAACGTTAACCAGCCTTACAGAGAGTTAGGGTTCCATGAGTTTATTTTTTTGATAATTCTGTTGGAGCACGGTTAAAAAACAAAGTGTGACTTTCATTGGTTACATTTAATAGAATTTTTATTTATTACTTTTGTCTGAATCAAGTTATTTCTGTGACTACTGTGGGGTTTTCTTTCATTGACTGGAGGTTACCAACAGTTGTTCATGTCTGTAAATCTATATCTGTACAGAAGGTTTGTAAAAAGATCTCACACAAACCAGGTTGCATCAGAATAGAAACAGTTGTCGAGTCCTAACATTTTGAGCTGATCTTGTTGTTCCCTCTGCAGCAAGCCACAGCTGCTACAGGGTGTCTATGCCATGGGATTCAATAGGCCGTCAAAGATCCAGGAAACGGCCTTACCCATGATGCTGGCTGAGCCGTGAGTTTTACTTTACATTTTTGTTCCCTGTTCCTACAATAACACTCAGATCTTGATGTTCTGCAAAGGTGTTTCTGGTGGCCTGAATCAGAACCTGTTCTACCTGGAGTGTTTGTATTCTAACACTTGAAAATGTCCTGAAGTCCACAGAATCTGATCGCCCAGTCACAGTCAGGAACAGGAAAAACAGCTGCCTTTGTCCTGGCCATGCTCAGTCATGTTGACCCCAACAACCATTTTCCTCAGGTTGGTAATGACACTCTGCTATTCTAGAAGAAATATAAATCTTTACACTTCATGCATAAATGTGACCCACATAATCAGGCCAAAGCACAACCTAAAACACATTTTATTTCTCTCCATCAGTGCCTGTGTGTGTCACCAACCTACGAACTAGCCCTTCAGACTGGTAAAGTGATCGAGCAGATGGGCAAATATTATCCCGAAGTCAAACTTGTCTACGCCATTAGAGGACAGAAGTGTAGGACTCATAAACATCATTGCAGTCGCAAACAAATGTGTTAATTCATCTGACCCTGAGAATTTCTTCTGGTGTGTTGCAGTGCAGCGGGGCACGAAACTGCAGGAGCAGATCGTCATCGGCACTCCTGGTACCATGTTGGACTGGTGCGGTAAATTCAAATTTATAGACCCAAAGAAAATCCGAGTGTTTGTGCTGGACGAGGCCGACGTGATGATCGCCACACAGGGTCACCAGGATCAGAGTATTAGAATCCAGAGGTAATGTGGTAACTCTAACTCTGACCATCACACTACTACCACCATGTTTTACTGTTGGTTTGTTTTATGAAATGCGCCGTTATGCAAATATAGGTGCAAGCACATTTGAAGCTTTCTCTTTAATTCACAAAAAAATAAAAAATAAAACATTTAAAAATGTACCGATAAAGAAGGGATTTTAACTGAGCTTGCGGATTAGTTTTGTACAGACATTGGGAAAATATTACTATTTGGGGTCTTAAATCAGGGTGTCCGCGGGGTTTTAAAAAGTATTAAAAAGTGATAAATAAAAATAGTCAAATTTAAGGCCATTAAAAGTGTTAAATTTGGTCTCAGAGGTATTATTTTTTCCAAATTAGGTATTATTTTTTTCAGACTATCAGATGTCGTATTCTGAACATCGACATAGAAATATATTCCGAATGAAATGTTTTGAACGATTATAAAAACAAAACAAGCCGATTATTTGCTCCTCCCATTTGCGCTGCCTTGAGTTGCAAATGAAGCGCTCCTCCCAGTGTTGCCAAGTTAACTTAGCGACTTTGACGCTATTTCTAACAGCTTCTCAGACCCCCTTCTTGACTTTTTAAATCTTAAAAGTACCTAGCGAACACCTCAGAAACATCTCTGGTAACCCTTAGCTACTTTCTGGATAACTGTCGTCGACATTTCCTGCAGGTTAGCTAAACACTCCGCCTGCGCTCCCGACCGTTCTTCAGGACATTAGGAAAGGGAATGATGTAGTGATGTGTCAGTCGCTAAAGACAGCTCTCAGGGCCGGCTCCCTGTTGGATAAACCAGAGTGAGTGACACACACACCGCACCTGCGGACTCCTGAGCCGATAAAAACGGCTAAATGTGCACGTGCGGCGCGCTAAACACACGTGCAGCTTGCCCCGATTGCTGTGAGACCGGGTTGGGGGTGGGGGTGCAGCTGTGGTTGGGACAATTATTACATTAACTGATGGACTTGTAAATAAATAGTTTATAAATAAGGTAGAAATAAGTTCCTCACACTGATAAATAATAACTAATCTCTCTGAGGACACGGTGCTAGTGCACTCTCCTACAGCACCTTGACATGACTCAATAAATGCTATGCAACATTTAGTGAACAGCAATTTGCATGTATTTGTTATAAATGCCACTGTATAATTCTTGCTGTCAGTATTTGCAAGATATTGGTATTTGGGTCTGCACTGGTTAGACTTAAATGAGTTAAACCAAGGTCTATAGCCCTTGGGTCATAAACTATGAGCTATAAGTATATTGGTCTTTTTATACTGGGAATCAGGAGTTATTTTAGTGATCATCTTGTTTCTTGTTTATTTTTGCCCTGATTGTGCCCTGAGCAGTTTTATGACTGAATAAAAATAAAAAAATAAAAATCTACATAAATTGAAAAATCGTCTTACATAATCGAGATCTCAATTTCAGTCACAATAATCGTGATTATTGTTTTTGCCACAATCGAGCAGCCCTACTTTAGCATATCCGGTCACATAATGATGACGTCATATTCAGCGGTCGTTGTGCATCATTTCAGGCCTCGTGGTCAACTGTCTGAACCGCTGAACAGAAGTGCCTGGCTTATTTTCTAAGTAAAATAAATATGTGCAATACGTTGTCAACATCAGTGAGTCTCTAAGTCTATTCTTTTTGTATGTTATATATGTTAAAATATGTGTAAATAGGTCGCTGATTAACACTTGCAATTTAGTGTTGTGATGGTTTTAAAAAAATTCTGAAGGTAGTAAAAAAAAGTATTAAAAAGTAGTAAATTTTACTTAAGGATTGCTGTATATACCCTGTAAATAAGTTTTAACATCCAGATATGTTGCCTAGGTACCACTTCTGATTGTTGAGTGTATTCTCCACATCTTCACCACCCAGGATGCTGCCCAAAAACTGCCAGATGTTGCTGTTCTCGGCTACGTTTGAAGAGAGTGTTTGGAACTTTGCCCAGCGCATTGTGCCTGATCCAAACATCATCAAGCTGAAGAGAGAGGAAGAGACGCTAGACACCATCAAACAGTACTATGTGTTGTGTAACTGCAAGGAGGAGAAGTTCCAGGCTCTGTGCAACATCTACGGTGCCATCACCATCGCCCAGGCCATGATCTTCTGCCATGTAAGCTCATTTACGTTAATTTCCATCATTACTTTTGTTAAAACAATCATTTCATTATGCATATATAAACATTTTTGTTTGTGTGTCTTTCAGTGTTTTATCAGAATTTTCTGCTTCTTTTTAACACAGGAAAACTCTTGTTTTCAGGGTGGTTTAATACTAGTACATATCCCACTCCTACCAAGGTTATTTTAAGGCTTTTGTTGATAACAACACACTTTTTCTTTGTAATCCAGACAAGGAAAACTGCAGGCTGGCTCGCGGGGGAGCTGTCCAGAGAAGGTCACCAGGTCGCTCTGCTCAGTGGAGAGATGCAGGTGGAGCAGAGGGCTGCTGTCATCGAACGCTTCAGAGACGGAAAGGAGAAAGTCCTGGTCACTACAAACGTTTGTGCTCGGGGTAATCTAGTTAAAACCTGTCTTTAGTCTTTGGAAATGTGGGGTTCACACCCGGACACGGTTGCCGCTCAAAAGAACTTGGCATCAAAATAAGAAGAAAGTAGGAAAAAGCACCTGCAGGGGGCGTTAAAGCAGACACTTGTATAACCACACACATGTAGTTTATTCTAAATGATTATGGTTTACTTTTGCAGTATGTACACTTTACGTAAATGTATTTTAACTTGTTTAAATTCCATTTTTTAAATGGCAATAGAAAGGCTAGGTTAATAGGAGCTAATTAGGAATAAAAAATTCAAACAAAAATGTGACGTTCTGGATTAGTTGTATAACGTTGTTTTATATTCAGGTATCGATGTGGAGCAAGTTTCTGTGGTGATCAATTTTGACCTGCCTGTTGACAAAGATGGTAACCCTGACAACGAGACATACCTGCACAGGATTGGACGTACAGGCCGGTTTGGGAAAAGAGGACTGGCCATCAACATGGTGGACAGCAAGATGAGCATGAACATCCTCAACAGGATCCAAGAGCATTTCAGTGAGTCTGACCAGCTTTGTAGACGTTGGATTTCATGAGCTGCAGTCATTCCTTCTTTAGGGTAAACACACGTGGTTGTGATACACCTGGGCTCTTTCTCTACAGGTAAGAAGATTGAAAGACTAGACACAGATGATCTGGATGAAATAGAGAAAATTGCCGGCTAAAGGAGACGCCTGTCAGAGGAAGCTGGCCCCCCTCCCCTCGTTCTCCACGGACTCTACGCTTCTAAAATGTTTTATGGGTTTTTTTGCTGTCAGGGAAAAGAGCAAAACCACAAATTCACACACAGTGTATGTTTACATGTGGACATGTCTCCTCTCAGACACGCTTTTCTTTTAAATCTCTGGAACATACCCGGTTTCACTCTTTGTACGTTTCTACGTGAGATAGTGTTGCTCGTAGAAGCAAAGATATTTATTTGAATACTTGAGTATTTTTTAAAACTATTTTCATTGCTGGCTGTAGTTGTGACAAATTCTCAAAAACTTCTTACAGGGGAAAATAACTAGTGCCACAATGGGTTTAATTAAGTAAAACTGAATGTAACATAGCCTATATTGGGCTTTTTTCCAAACACGGGTACAAAGAGTGAAAGTTAGGTATGTTGCTCTGAGTCGTAGGTAAAAATAGTTTCCAAGATGGTGATGTTAGCGTTTAAGGGTCTATGCAAACTTATCAGCCTGTGATAGCTATTATCTAATATCAACCTGTATTCACTTAATATAAATTAAGTACTCCAAAAATAACCTCGTCTTTAGCGTCAGGGTGAGTAGTCACATGCCAAAAGAAAAAAAAAAAGACTGCCTAGAGTGATGCCAACTCCCAAGTCATGGTTACACGTTTCCTTCATCTGACAACCTCACATCACACACATCTATATCATCTAAAATCCAACATGGCCACTATCAGCAACAAGCCTCCTTTTGTTCTTTCAGACTCAAAATCTCATTTTAACTAAGTATGAGCCGCTCGGTCTGACGTTTGTCCCATAAAACTTCTCCAACTCCATTCTTCACCCAGACGTTCTTTTAAATGGATTGTGAGTTACTAAAATGCCTTCCTCAAGTGCATTATGTATACATATGATTTTGATATGAACATTCTGAGAGATTGGGCTTAATATTCTGACTAACACTTGAAATTCTGATGACATAATGAAACATGGGCGCCTTTAGGTTGTGTGAATTACCTGTTTGATACCAAATGCTGAATTGACCTGAGGACCTATGCTAATCAGACTCATGCTAATCAGACTCACTGTGGTCGCATGAATAGATTACATGTACTTGTGTACATATTTAAAAATGTTACGTTGCAGAAAAATGTGTCTGAATTACTGATTTTTGCCACTTCTAAGAAGTGAAGGGAAAAAAAACATTCCTCATGAGGTTCGATACTGACAGATGCAGTACTTTAGAATAAAGGCGCCTAAACCAGTTTGGGGGACTGGGGAAAAAGGTTACGTCAGACATTTTGATCAGGACACTGGAGATTTGGGAAGTGGTCAGTGCAAACCTGCAACACACCTCGCGTCTCCCAGCAGCACAGCTACTGGTTTCTCTGGTTTTACTGGACTGTTTCTGGACCTCCACCTGAAACAACTCACTGAACAGATGCAGCCAAATGAAAGGAAGTGACCTGAACATACAGAAGACTTTGGAGGGGGAAGCGGTGTATGCAGTTTTATTAGGACACTGATGTATACAGAATGGATGTGTGTGTGTCCACTTTGTTGATCCATAATGTGATGCCTCTGCGTGAGAGACGTGGACTCAGCAGCTTAGGCTATAGAACAACACCTGTCCCCTCTTAGCACACACCTCGTCTGCCAGGTTAATGTTTCTGTCAGGAGGGTCGGTTCACAGCGTGAGGTTGTCCAGCTGAGCTGTGTTCATGGACACATGCATTCTTAATATGTTGAAATAAATGAACACATAGATGTTTGTGTGGCCGTTTGCTTTTTTTGTGTAAGTTTTAATTCTTTAGAAAAACAAAATTACGTATAAAGTTTATTGAAGTCAGTCCTCTGCTTTTTGCCTGAAGTCCAGCTGTTCAGAACAGTTGAGATCTAGAGAAAGGGACACAAAGGGTGAGATCAGAACATTTCTGCTGTGAATTACAACAACATGGCCAAAGATGATTAAAACGAAAGTATTGGTTAACTTTGCTGACTAAAGGTGAAATTTAGAACATACAGGAATGACTTCACAGCTGGAACACAAACATTTTTAGCATCTTTACAAAATGCATTTTAGCCAAATGCAAGTAGAAAATAGTCTCATTTCAAATGATTCCTATGTCTTTATATGAATGTGAGGTGAACTTCTGCCCAGAACGTTTGGCACTAGTTCAGTGCTGACTGAGTGACATGTGGCTTCTACACTGGGGGCTTTTCATGCAGAGCTGCCTGACACCTCCAAGGTCAAGCAAATTCAGGAACTGCCTGAGGTCTCTACAGGATCCCTGAAGACATCAGTTCTTTGACATTTTACCTCCGGTTTCTTTACTGGTCAACAACACACCAGAAGAGTCGGTACAAAGTGGTGAGACCTGAACTAACCCAGTCTACAGGTGCTGGCCAGTAAATTAGAATATCATCAAAAGTTTGAAAATATTTCAGTAATTCCATTCAAAACGTGAAACTTGTACATTATATTCATGCAATGCACACAGACCAATGTATTTCCAATGTTCATTACATTTAAATTTGATATTCATAAGTGACAACTAATGAAAACTCCAAATTTGGTATCTCAAAAAATTAGAATATTCTGAAAAGGCTGAATATAGAAGACACCTGCTGCCACTCTAATCAGCTGATTTACTCAAAACACCTGCAAAGGCCTTTAAAAGGTCCCTCAGTCTTGTTTTGAAGGCACCACAATCATGGGGAAGACTTCTGACTTAACAGCTGTCCAAAAGACAATCATTGACACCTTGCACAAGGAGGGCAAGACACAAAAGGTGATTGCTAAAGAAGCTGGCTGTTCGCAGAGCTCTGTGTCCAAGCACATTAACAGACAGGCGAAGGGACGGAAAAAATGTGGTAGAAAAAAGTGTACAAGCTCTAGGGATAACCGCACCCTGCAGAGAATTGTGACGACAAACCCATTCAAAAATGTGGGGGAGATCAACAAAGAGTGGACTGCAGCTGGAGTCAGCGCTTCAAGAACCACCACGAGGAGACTCATGAAAGACATGGGATTCAGGTGTCGCATTCCGTGTGTCAAGCCACTCTTGAACATGAAACAGCGCAAGAAGCGTCTCGCCTGGGCCAAGGACAAAAAGGACTGGACTGATGCTGAGTGGTCCAAAGTTATGTTTTCTGATGAAAGCAAGTTCTGCATTTCCTTTGGAAATCAAGGACCCAGAGTCTGGAGGAAGAGCGGAGAAGCACAGAATCCACGTTGCATGAGGTCCAGTGTAAAGTTTCCACCGTCAGTGATGGTGTGGGGTGCCATGTCATCTGCCGGTGTTGGCCCACTCTGTTTCCTGAGGTCCAGGGTCAATGCAGCCGTCTACCAGGAAGTTTTAGAGCACTTCATGCTTCCTGCTGCTGACCAACTTTATGGGGATGCAGACTTCACCTTTCAACAGGACTTGGCACCTGCACACAGTGCCAAAACCACCAGCACCTGGTTCAAGGACCATGGTATCCCTGTCCTTGATTGGCCAGCAAACTCGCCTGACCTTAACCCCATAGAAAATCTATGGGGTATTGTGAAGCAGAGGATGCAATACGCTAGACCCAACAATGCAGAGGAGCTGAAGACGACTATCAGAGCAACCTGGGCTCTCATAACACCTGAGCAGTGCCACAGACTGATCGAGTCCATGCCACGCCGCATTACTGCAGTTATTGAGGCAAAAGGAGCCCCGACTAAGTATTGAGTGCTATACATGCACATTCTTTTCATGTTCATTCTTTTCAGTTGGCCAACATTAGAGAAACAAACATTTTTTCATTGGCCTTTAGAATATTCTAATTTTCTGAGATACCAGATTTGATGTTTTCATTGGTTGTCACCTATAAATATCAAAATTAAACGTAATAAACATCGGAAATACATTGGTCTGTGTGCATTGCATGAATATAATGTACAAGTTTCACGTTTTGAATGGAATTACTGAAATATTTTCAACCTTTTGATGATATTCTAATTTACTGGCCAGCACCTGTATTATAATGCTCAATTATTCAACCAACCAACTGTGAGCTGCTGCTGCATCAGATTCTAGACTGAGCGTTTCTGAATATATCATTTTAATGGTCAGCGACGACACGTAAGATTTAAACAAACTACCTTAAAAATGGTCTCCACCTGGTTTAATGATCTGAGACATTGTCACCTCTGGACCTTAACCCCACTGAGAATCTGTGGGATGTGCCGGAGAAGGCTTTGCACAGCGGTCAGACTACCATCACCAACATCTTGGTGAAAAATTAACGCAACACTGGATGGAAATTAATTTTGTGACACTGCAGAAGATAACTGAAACTGTGGCACAGCAAATGTGAGCTGTAATCAACTCTAAAGGTTAATATTAGGAGTTTTACATATTTTATATTAAGTTGCAAAAACTGAAAAGGTTTAAATTAGATATTTATTTGAGATAAATGTCATACTTAAGAAATTGCATCTCTGCAGTAAAAAACAACAATTTGGTAATAAAATGTTGACTTTGCGAAGTTAATAGTTTGTAATGATGTGACAACAGGCATCAGGTTTTTATAAATAAAAAAAAACTATTCTGAAAGTGACAAAAAAGGTAGATCAAGATAAATTACCTACCCAACTCTTTGTAGCCTACTCTAGTGAGGAAGAGGCCATAAGCTGGAGCAGCCAGACCCTTAGGGTACGCCAGAGAGTCCCGAGCCTCCATTAGGTCTTTGAGTTGGGACAGTGAAAGCCGCCCCTGGCCCACAGCCACCAGGGCTCCTGTCATCCTACGGACCTGGAGCCAAGAACCACATTTAATGGTTTCATTTGTGGAATGGCGCTTGTTTGTGATCCGGTCATTCCCAGCAGAGGGTGATACTACACATTATTATTATATCAGAAATGTAACAAACCTGCTTATAAAGAAATGATTGGCTTCTAAAGGTCAGCTCCCAGAATGGTATCTCTCTGAAAAAGTAAATACCGTTACTCTAGTATTACATACTATAAATAGTCAGTTTTTGAAGCACATTTGCAGCTCTTGAAATGCAACAATAATAGGATAACATTGTAATTATGTAAAACCCCTGACACCCCTGAATATATATATATATATATGTATATATATATATGGTATATATATGGTATATATATATATGGTATATATATGGTATATATATATATATATATGGTATATATATGGTATACCGTAAATCCTCTAATACAGGCCCGGGCCTGTATTTGACTCAAGCTCATCAAGCTCCAGGCCTTTATTGGAAGGAGGGCCAGTATTAGAGGCAGGCCTCTATTTCTATTTGAGCAAAATGAACTAATGGTTCGCTGGAGTTTTTGACAATTAAAATTGCGCCCACATTTTCAAAGTTAAACACATTTCTTTTAACAACGGTAGTTCCTGCTTCAGCCCTCTCCCCCCTCCCCCTGCGCAGCAGCCGCAAACTCACTGATGCGCCTGCAGCCTCTCGGAGTTCCTGCTGCTCTAAACATTAAAATAATTATTTCTTTTTCTGTTCCTCACTTCTGATTACCTTCAATGGTGTCTGTTTGTTGCAACAGCAGGTACAAAAACTAACTTGTTTTTATTTGACTATTTTTCTGTCCTGTCTGTTTATTATCTTCCTGCATCTCCTCGCAATCCTAAAGAAAAACTGCTACCTGGGTTCATATATATTCACCTCATGAGTTACCTTTGAACTGCAGTTCTAAAAGATCTACCGACCGCAAAAACAGCGGAGTGCTCGCTGTTTGTCGGCCGTATCAGTGATCAGTGCGTCGGAGGACAAGGTGATGCCCGCAGCGCCCCGCTCCACAGCATGCAGCGAAACGCATCAGGCGCAAATAAAAGACAGAAAACATTAGAGGAAATGAACCGACATGAACGATCGCGTGTCAGTACCTACGGGAGTGTGGTTTCACAGACGCGGAAGTGATAGCGTCGGTGAAACGCCGGCTGCTCTAGGAAACCCCCGAGCGTTCGAGCGTCAACGAAGTGACACGGAAATGCCGGGCTTTCCAGAAGTAAGTAAGATAACTTACTATGAGCTGATAGTTCGTTGGATTGATTGGTAGGTTGGAAACTCTGATCGTGAATCTGAAGAAACGATGACTGAGCTGTAAAGGTGACTTCCGTTTATAGCCGCGGTTTGTGACGTAGGTGCGACGTGGAGGGAATCCCCGCGAGGGGCATGCTGGGAGTCCCTACTTCGCGGATTTTCACCTATCGCGGCCAGGTCTGAAACGCATCTACCGCGATAAACGAGGGATTACTGTAGTTCATACACCCCCTACTGCTGCTCTCCAGAGTGTTCTGCAGCATAATCAGCACGTTCTCTTTGAACTTGATAGTGTAATGACCTGGCTGGGGTTGTAAGCCAGGTGCATTCTGGGTATTGTGTTATATGTGTTTCCTATCGTTCTGCTAGTTCCTATGTGCTGATTTGCGTGTTGTGTGAGTGTTATGTAAGCCACAGGGAAGGTGATGTGTGTTCTGTGGAGTGGGTTGAATTAGCATGGTTAACTGACACCGTGACTCTGTGTGGTAGGAGCGTGATAAAGGATCGTGTCTGAAGCGTTAGAAAGCTAGAAGAAAAATCCTAATAAAGGTCTGCGCGAACCCCTACTGCCTCCTGCTGGTTGATTTGGGGACTATAACCCTGCCGCTGGGAGTCTCGTACTTGCTTGTTACCACATTCCATCCGGCCACAATAAGAGACCGGCCATTATTTACCTCCGATGACTCCGACACCGGCCAAAATTGGAGACCCGGCCTTTAATTGAATACCGGCCTGTATTAGAGGATTTACGGTATATATATATGGTATATATATATATATATATATATATATATATATATATATATATATATATATATATACACCATATATATGTATATGTGTGTGTTTTTTAGACCTGATTTTTATGGTGGGCATCATTTCATTCATTTTAACAACATTTTGATGGATATTTCCAGAGATTAATGATAAAAGCTACACATTGTCCCTTTAATGAAAGCGGTCACCTCTGCACGTTTCTTTATACGAAAAACAAAAAAATCCCTTTAGACTTCATTCCTCCTTCCTGGGGAAGATGTTGGGCGCCATGTTGATGTCAGCAAGAGGCCCGGTCCCTTCTGGTCCACTGATTTGTACCTAAATCACATCCTGACCTGACCTGAATGCACTGCTGCAGATTAGGCACAGCAGGATTATGTATAATCTAATAGGAAAGTTGTTTTTGTTCTATTGCTGCAGAATAAAAGTTTTTTTTTTGCATCAGAATCTTTTCCTTTACTATTCACCTGTTTTATTGATCTAATCTTTATTTTATATGAAAACTTGACGTACAAGGTACTGCCTAGAACTGACAAATTCTAATCCAATAGACAACTAGATTTAAAGTATTTGAGAAAATAAAATGATTATAATTCATTATTTTCTTTTGTAAACCACTAACATGGGATAATAAGGACATTCTGTGCTAACTGGTGCCAACTCAGAGTTGAATGCACCAGTGTTTGATGCAGCGCCCCCAAGTGGCCTAAACCTACCTATGAAAGTAGGGCTGTGCAAACGAGCCTCCTGGCTGAATGGAGACCACATCCATTGTCTTCACAGGGTTTTTAAACAGTATGTCAGAATTTACTGCTCTGAAGCTGCTGAAATCGTGAGTCCCAGCCAGCAGGGCAGCTGCTTCACGCATGGCCTCCATATCCAGCTCTCTGGGGAAAAAAGGAAAACTTCTTTTTGAAAGCAGCAAACATGTGAACAGCAGCAGTCCGCCTCGCTGTGACGCTGCAACATGACCTGAGAGTGACTCGTCATTTCTGAGTGAACTTATATAATATTAACATTGAGAGGGGCAGGGCCACGTGAGAGAGCAGAGCATGGCTCGGGTCCTATACAGCTTCATGCCCCTGTCACTGCTCAAATATGAGCTGACAGGAAGAGAAGCACAGCGCTAAGTGACTGACTGACCAATTAAATTCTTAATGTGCTCCTTTAAATTCTTCAACAAGAGCGGCGGATAGGAATAAAGTAAAAATCTACATCCGTTCATGTCTGTGAAACCTGAACACGGTGAAGACGGGTAGTGTTGTAGATGTAGTTCACTTGTTTTAGTCATACATTTGCTGTGATTTCTAGTAGGAATGAATGCCTTGTAAGTCATACTCTGGGGGGGAAATGCTCAGTTGCGCTTGTTCCAGGAAGTACAAGTCAGCTAGAGGAGACAGTAGCTTCAGTTGAGGATTTAAAGTCCCGTTAGTCATCACACACCGGTGAAATTCATCTCTGCATTTGACTCTTCCCTGTGGGAAATGGTGAGCTCCAGCAGTGGCTATGCTCGGGAACTATTTGGTGGTTTAACCCCTAAATACTATGGTGAGTGTCAAGCAGGGAGACATTGGGTCCCATTTTTAAAGTCTTTGGTATGACCTGAACGGGATTATTTATAGAGAAAAATAATCAATGCTGCATTTTTTTAACCCCCAAAAAAAGAACGAACTTAGGCAAAGGAAGAGTTGCGTTGTTACAGTCGGCCAATCACGTATGAGTAGGACTTCAAATCCTGTCGTTTTCCACTTACCCATCGCCAACTAACTTAAGCCCCTCAAACTGGAGCGCCAGAGCTTCTTTTCCACAGAAAACAACTCATCCGACATTTATTCTTAATAGAGACCACAGCAGATTTATTTTAGGGGGAAAAAAATCAAGCGAACCCGAGCATTAGAGGCGTAGCATTCACTGATGGAATTCAAATAATCCCGCCTTACATCACAAGATCATACGCTCTGACCTCCAGCCCCACCTAACTTTACCTAAATATCTGTAATTTTGACTCCTAATTTTTAAAGAATTTTGTAAAATCTGTTGGAGACGGACAAGCAAGGAAGACTTTCTGAGAATACCATTCTACATCCGCCCAGTAGCTCATAAGACACACGCACACGCACACACGCACGGAGTAGTGTTGGTGTAAGTGAAAACAGCAAAATAATGTGACTGATATTTTTTGCAGTGGGTAAGCAGTTGTGATGACGAGTGTGTGAGCAGCAGATCAAAGACAGAGCGGAGAGACGCTGGGATGGGAGGCAGGGACACTCAGGGGTGAAAAGACGAGATGAAACAGAGAGACGTCGGGGAGGGAGAGAGAGAGAGAGAAATCAGGAAAAGGGAGAACGAAAAGAGACTGAGGACATAATGGAGAAGAGAAAAAATAAAAATGGCTAAAATGCGTGGGTGTTGTTCAGCATGTGTATAAGCCTGCGGCTTATCTTGCCCTACTTTTTCCTGGGGAAAAAAGTGTAGCATAGATGAGAAAACGCTTCAAACATACATTCTCTCAAATGCATTTCGTCACGCTCCCTCCCTCCTATCACAGCTGAGAGAACGCTGCCCGAGCTTCAAAGCCCTCAATCTCTTTCTACACTCTGTCCATCTTTCATGTTTGTTTTGGAGACATCGGCTCACATGGAGCTCTCTCACACGTGGATTATTCATGCATTTAGACTCAAGTGGGCTCTGTGGACAAACACCTACGTGCTGCGAAGGCCCCAGCACAGATTCTCCTCTGTGAGAGGAAGTGGAGTGTGGTGGCTGATGCCCAGTGCCACTCTGTAGACGTAGGTCCGAGACCGGGCGCAGAAACGGGCGTGAAAGTCCTGGGGAACACGGTGGGCATGGGTGACTCTGAGGAAAGAGCAAAGGAGGACAAATATGATAGTAATTCAACCTACAATCGGATTCACAAACATTGCATTGCTGAAAACGCAGTAGATGATCGGACTGTCGAACAGAGAAAATGGTGTTTTCAGACTTGAGTCCAGCCCTTGCCAAGAGCCCTGAAAAGCTGAGTGGTTATGATAACGCAGTTAGCAGCACAGCAGGCTCACCGGCCGAGGCTCTCTGATGCAATTCCAGCAGGATATCATCACCAGACTCTTCCTGTGAGTCTGTGGACAGCCAGCGATGGAGACAGGAAGAGATGTAATGGCTCCGATGCTTTTAGAAAATGATTTGATTTCTACAGCAGAACTAGACAGTTTACTGGTTTTTTACAACATTACGGTGTGCATTTGGTGCCGACTCATCAAATATGCCAGACTGATTAAAAAATTGTGAATAAAAAGTTTTTAAATGATCTTTTTACCTCCACGTTTCATGAGTTCATCAATAAAACAAGAAAGTACACACCCTGGGATCATGTGTGCAATTAAATAAAAGTCAAAGGTAACAAAGAACTGCTGTTTCTAAATTTCTAGTTTCCAGAGGTATGTAAATGTAAGTTTATTCCAATTTGATGTCAAAATGACCTATTTTATCTCAAAAATAAAAAGTGAAATGTGTGGTTGACTGGAAAAACATTTTTTTATGATTATTTCAGATTATAATCGGTCACTCTGAGTTTCATGCAGGCTGAACATGAATACAGCCTCCTATACCTACCTCCTGCATTAGCTTCTGATAGAAAATAGAAAACTCTGAAAATCCTCACATATCCATGTCACACTGTGAATTAGGGCTGGACAGTTATTCAATAACAATTATATATTGATCGATAGACATGTGATTCAATGAAAAAAAGGGATCAATAAAAACTTTAATAAAAAGTTTCCTTTTTTCATTATAGCCTATTGGGTAGCTTCATACTAGAGTCATTCCTTACATCCAACCAATCAAAAACGCAGACCCAAGCACGCCTCATCACCAAGCCCTACCCTCACAAACCTAAACGAACAGCAGTGTGACCTGAACAAGATGTTGTAGCAATGAGAGGTGGAAAAAATTGTCCCAAAAAAGGTTACAGTACTTCAGCAGTGGCAATTTTTTCATTCTTACAAGTCTGACAAAAACAAACAACGGTGGTTTGCAAAATTAGCAGAGAATCAATAAAAACCAAGTCTGATAACACAACCAACTTCTTTTATTATAAAGTAATTACATAAAACGGCCAGGGCTGCACTCATATGCTAAAATATATGTTCTACATTTTTTATATAGTTTTTAATAATTATTGATATCGATCAATATGATTTTTTTAAAATCAATACACTTTTTTCTACATCGTCCTGCCCTACAGTGAATTAGCATTCATGGCATCGCACATCTAGGCTTGTGCCCACCCACAGGAAGCCTTTTAAAAAAATTTGCAGTGAGGAGAGAGAGAGTAGAGTGTATCGATGATAGTGACTTTGCAACATGGCTGTTAGCCAATCAGAAGCAAGGCGTGTGCGCATCATTAACAACAATGAGCAATCCTGCCGTTTTCAGCCCATCTCTGCACCAGCAAACTTCTGCATCTCTGATCAGAAGCATCAGCTTTTTGTTTTAACTAACCCATAAGGCATTGATTTACACCAGAGAACAGAGCAAATGCATTGAATAAAAAAGTAAACCACACCTTTAAAATTACAACAGCAAATGTTTGTCGCAAAATGATCCCATCTTTTTTTGTGTTTATTAATATAAATCATAATTGAGCAAAACCATTGTGAGCCTAAAATGTTGCTAGCAACCATGCTAGTGACAAGTGGGGAATCCTAAATGCTTCCACGTGAGGACTAAAAGGACAAAAAGCTGCAGCATTTAGTCTTTGTCCACATTTATTTATGTCTGCAGCCAAGTGCAAATAAACAAATTCAGAGATGAGTAGCAACATTTATGAAAATCAAAGAAAATGCATGTGCATTTCTGTCTACAAGTGTGTGTGTGTGTCTCCACAATAAGAGAAACTAGGTTACGTTTCCAGGGGAGGGGATTAAGTGTGACACGTGGCAGAGGAAACCCTTGCGCCTGCCTTCTGCAGCTCCTCTGATAAGAAGCGACAGCTTTTGCCCAGCCTCCAAACCACACACCCACATCAAATTTTTATAGGTGGTGAACGAAGCGTGGCCACAAACATTTGGGGTAAAAGGGCCTTTGTTTAGTGCCACGTCCTCCTGATTTCAGCCTAAACAAGGCTGGATAGCACAGGAGCAGAACTAGTATAGTGTGAACAGAGCAGATATTTTTTACAGTGTGCAGTCTGTGTTAATGCTCTGCCTTGACTCTTTATCTCTGGAGGCAGCAGACCAGAGCTTTCAGCCGGATTGTAACTGCTGCAGTGTCCAAAACAGATTTTTTTTCGTTACCAGCTCCAGTAACACAGAGATTTCAGATTGAATCTGTTTATAATGTCATATCTAGACATATGTAGGTGTGTAAACAGAGCTGGATATGTTGGTTGGATGTTTAAAGATCAGTGATCAAGACATTATATTTGTTTATTTTTCCAGACACTTATATCCAAAGTGACTCAACTGTACATGTAGGTGCCGGTGTACCTGCAGAAAACCCACAAATTCATGGGGACAACATGCTTACTCCATGCAGAAAGGCTGGAGCTGGAACTCAAACCTGCAACCTTCTTCCTTTGAGGCGACAGTGCTGCAGCCGTTAGACATTAGAATGATGTTTCATCATATGTCTCCTTCAACTAGAGCAGGTTAAGAGTGTACGGTTCCATTAAGCTAAATGAAAGTGTGTGTGTGTGTGTGTGTGTGTGTGTGTGTGTGTGTGTGTTAATGGATGCTATAGATCTAACAGCACAGCTGGGATAATCCCTACCAACCTTCTCTCTACAGGTTTCAGGATTAGCGCTGCTGAAAGCCTCCTTTTCCTCCCATCTCACTTCTCTGCTTCCTTTTCTCACACCGTTTCAAACCATCTGTCTTTACCTCAAGAGCATCCAACCATCCCTCTTCCACTCAGAATCACTTTACCCGTTAGTGTCTCCACCTCTGTCTATCTAAGCTGCCTCTTTGTTTCTCATCTTGTCAGAAGAAACTGCTGACTATACGAACACACATTATTACTGTCTATCCAGTCACAAGCAGCGAGGAGGCTTTAGCTTAAAGCATCTGACTATTTAATCACAAGATTTTATCACGCGAATATGGTTTTTAAAAAACATCGTTTTAGTCTGAACCACACTGAGACTAAACTTATACTCTTTAGAGAAAGCAAAGTGATCAGAAAATTTTGTAGGACTGAAGATAAATTTCAAGTCTGACATTATTTTTTAGACAAACTGCTACCAAAGATGGTCTTCTTACATTGCTTTGGCTCATTGCGTGTTCCGACCCGTCATCAACCAGACACAGGAATGTAGGACACTAATGTCCTACATTCCTGTGCAGAGGTCTGCAAAGTGAGGTTCTGGAGCCACAAGTGGCTCGTTGGACTTTCAGCAATGGCTCTTAAATGGATCTTTGGCTAAAATTGATTTAAAAAGAAATTGTGTATTTAAAGGGATACTTAACAAATTTTTCATATTTTTTAAATCATTTTCTTGAGCCACTATGTGCTGAAATGACCCTTTACAGGGTTAATGAAAGGCCAGAATATTCCAGCGGGCCGCTCTGTTGGGACTTAGAACTAGAGCTGACATACCTGGCGCAGCAGTCTGCCTCCAGCACGTTTCCTGCATGTTTTAGATCATGAACACAGTTGATTTGTTTAATTTAGTGATGAATCACACCTGTAGATGCTAATGAAGGCTGGGGAGACATTTCAGTTGTTAGATTAAGGTGTTAAAAAGCTGAATGCACTGCGAGGAGATACGTTTTGGTTCTACAAACAAACACTAGGAGGTGCTAAAAGCAAGCCACAACTGACTACTTCCCCTTTAAAGAGACAATGTGTGGAATTTTCCATTAATCTCTGAAAATATCTATTGAACCGTTGTTGAACATTAATAAAATGATGTGCAGTCCTTGAAAAATATTGGCGGCTTCATACCATAAAAATTGGGTCTAAAGTACATAGGCGTGGGACTAGCGTCTTTGAGGGACGCCATACTAGACGCCATGTTCCTTCTGGCCGGCTCGGGGTCCTGCGCCTGTTGATGACGTCATACCAGATGATTGGCTGAACGTACGACTTACAGAACTTACGTTACCACGTAACATTTAGTCTGTAAGAAACACAAATGTAATAACAAACCTGCTAAACTCTTTCCAAAATCTATGTGAAAGACTAGAATTGAAAAACAGAAGCAATATTTTGGCCAAGTGGTATTGCCGTAGTTTGCTGACATCATCACAGGACCCCGAGCAGATCTGGAAATTACAGCGCCAGCAAACTACAATCGGCATTGCATTCTCTCTTTATTTATTTATCTCATTAAAAAAAGAACATAGAAACAGAAGCAAAATGTTTCTAAGAATTCTGAGAAAAAAAGAGCAATTTCTCATTAATTATAAACAGTCTTTCCTCAACAGATCCTGTAACAGTTGAAGCTCCAAACTGTTTATTTTGGGTGGACTGAGGCGAAACACGGCTCTTTGGATTGTAAAGGTTGCAGACTCCCACCCAGGTGACTTGGACACTTGGAGCTCAGTCCCTATGTGAGTCGTAAGGATGTGACTATTCCAGTGAAAACGATTCAAAAAGCCTAATCTACTAGAGAAATTAGGCAAAATATCATCACCAGGAATCATATTTACTCCCCAGGATAGGCTGAGCTGCTCAGTTTGATTTCATATCATGACTGACGAATAACAAGAGACAACATGTGTTGTATTATTCCAAACACAGTACGAGTCTTTTTTAAATAAAACTTACAAATATTAATCTGTTGAATTCAAATTAAGAAAAAAACAATGGGATCAATGTTAAAACATTATTTTATTCCACAACACAATAATATGGCAGATCTAAGTGAAAATATACTCCTCTGGTGTTTACCATTAAAGGTGAAGAACTCAAACCGCCTTGGTCAGATCAAATCTCACTCACCTGATTTGTTCTGTCCCGAGGTGAAAATTCAGAGCCTGGACAAGAACGTCTTCAGTAAACGGAGGTTTGTTGTTGCTGCGCTGGAGGTCAAAGTGAGCAGAGTTAGAGAGGGCATGCACGCCAGTGTCCGTCCTGCTGGACACCAACAGAGAGACAGGATTGAGGGGCCTTAGCTTCTGAATGGCTTCCTGCACAAGAAAGAGATATAAAGCAGGTTAATGTAGAGTTGCATAAATCCTGAGAGCCTCTTACTCCAAGGCTCAGCATTTCAACACAGTAGCACAAATCAAGGCAAAGCCTAGGAGATGGTAGTTGTTCTATGGGCTATCTATAAATACATTTTACTTCATGGGTGATTCTGGATATAAGCAACCTAGAATTATTATGCTAAATAAAGTATTATTTATTTGCTCAGATGTATTTAAACAAATATTAGAAATAGCACACTCCCCTCTTAAACAATAGTGGTTTAATGACTGTTCTCTTTTTTAAATTAGTCTTCTAATGTTTTTTATATCTATAACAGTAAATAATTCCTTAATCAGAACAATAATTAGTGTTTAAACAGAATTATATTTGATCATAACCAGATTTTAATGTCTCCGAAATAAGTTGGCTTTTATTCCATGGATGAATTAAAATCAGGGATAACAAAGTCAGAGTGATTCGGATGGTTTCGTCCTTTGACACAGCACAAATCAAACACAAGCATAGCAATATCTTTCTGCTAAAAGTGTTGATCCGAATGAAAATGAGACAGCATATTATTATTTCATGCTACAGTAAACCACATTGTTTCATGAAAAATGAACATAAACAGCATTATTTACTCACCTCCAAGTGATCCTGAACTCCTTTCTTATCCACTTGCTGTATAGGAACTTTTACTGCACCACTGTTAAGGTTAAATGACTTTAAATGAATATATAAATAAATAATTGATCTATAAATCGAACATAAATCCGCATCCTGCTGTGTGACAAACCTGTATTTTGTTCCGATATACTGGAAAAAGATGAGGTAGCGTGCCCGGTTGAGCATAGCGATCATGAATTTGTTATTAAAGGTTAAAATAAAAGTTCTCACAGTTGCTGAACGTCCAGCGTGGACCCGTCGCAACGTGGTCAGTGTGTTCGTAGTCCGGAAGTAAAGAAGGAACTTACAGCTTTTCTGAAGATTTTAACCAAAAACGTTTGGTGTAGTGCATTTGCTCTCAAGAACAATGAATCAAATTAGTGACCGAAACGTTTCATTTTCCGTTTATAATGAATGCTAATAAGCATGTCACAGTCACACAAGTAAACTACAGACGTAAGCCCTGTTTGAAATAACACGCCGCTGCACCTTTAAAACTTTAAAATCTTTTTTCAACATTCAAACAGGATACAAGTATAAACATTTATCATAATAGACGCCTCTGCCCTCTAAACCATCCTCCAAACGGCTAAAAAAATCCGCTCGGTCGATTAATATTTGCGTCATCATTTGCGCAGAAAATCGTTAAGGCAAGCCGTTGTAGCATATAAACAGAGAACGAGTCCCTCTTCCAACTTAGAATTAAATTAACATATGTCAATGAGCATACTTATTAGTAAAATCATGTATTAGAGATTAAAAAAGAACAACGTATGAATTTGCAAAAACTAACATTTATTGGGAAGACAGACTAGACGTGTATTGAAAATATATGAAAATAAGAGCATTTATCCAATCTACAATAAAAGTTTTAATATCTCAACTAGAGGTCGATTGATTTTGGTTTTTCTTTTGCTGATACTGATGCCGATAGAGGTCATAGTCAGCTAATGGCCGACATGTGTAACTGATTTTTTTTGGGCCAACTGTCATGGCCGATGTATAGATGTTTTCAACCTTTTTGCATGCTAAATTATCACTTATTACAGTTGACACACAACATTTCTGAAGCTTAATCAGTCTTTAACTCTGAATTTAACCAACTGTTAAATATCTGTGCTCAGTGTTAAAATCAAACATCTAACTGCAGTTAATCAAACAAATCAATCAACTGACCATTTAAGAAATATTAAAAGTGGTATGTAAAAAGCACATTTTTGAGAATTTTTTAAGAGCATTTATCTTACAGATATTATTCAGGAATGTAAAAATAAACCTAAATTAAATTCTGCAGCACGGGGCTGCTCATTGATATTCCTGACTTTAAATCAGCTTTACTAATGAGTCATATTGGCTGATGCGGGCAAGTAAATATCGTCCTGATACATTGGCCCCTAGCCCCAACCATCAGTCTTCCTGGAGGAAATTAGGTTACTTTTCTCTTTCGTGAGTACTTGGTGTTTTTGTTCCAGATATCCCAAAACAAACAAAAAATAGTCTAAGCCTAAAATAACTATTGTGAAATCTGAAACGCATAAATCCAGGAAAGTGAGCCCGAGATATTGAAAACTGGCACCAGCTCTTACCCAAATGGTCTAAAATGGACTTCTAGGCAAGAGGAGAAAATGTTTATTATATGATAACTCCGTTTGCCCTACATGTCAGCCACAAACCCTTCTTTCCAGCCATTAAAAGCAGATACTATAAATGTTAGAGATGAAACACCTAAAAGTAAACACAAGTGATCCAACATGAATGCATAAAATGTTTTCTTTGTTGAAGCAAATTTTAAAAACATAGTTTCTGTAGTTGGCTTGGATGCTTTGTTCATCGAGTAACGTTTTTGTGCCTTTGTTTTTCCTGAATACTTACCTGATTTCTGAGTCAGATGACTTCAAAGTGCTTTACACATCCATTCACACACATTCATGCACACGTACATTAGCCAAAGCTGCGCTGAGGCACAATGACGGAGGCGAGACCACCCTTAGCAGGTGCCACCGGCCTCTCCAACCACCACCAGCAGACAAGAACAGTGAAGTGCTTTGACCAAGGACACAACAGCAGAATTCCCTGCAGGAACCCTGAACCAGTAGGTATTTGTTCGATTTTAAATCCAAGTACTTTTTTTTTTCACAAATTAAATCACACCCCTTAAAAATTACACTTGCAATCTCAATCATTAGTAGTGTGTATCATATGTATTTATTGTCAAAGTTTGGTTACTTTGGCCTTGAGTGAAGTCCCTTTTTTTATTACCCTTTCATCAATTGAAAAATAATCATGTATAAAACATGCTCTTAATTATTTTCCCTTTGATAATACAGTCAATATTGATTTATTTTTGTCTAGTAAACCTTTGTTATCGTAATTACCATAAACATACATATCTACGGTAATTCCATCTACTTCCCATGAGTCATAGCGCGCTTCCGTTAGGGAAGGGTGTGTTTTCTGGGCTATCTCCCTGTCGGTGTGAGTCTTTGCGCTGCAGCGACGCCTCTCGCCTCTCTCGGCAGCTGTGTAGTAGTATTCCGCCTGCCGCGCATTTTGTGTCAAGGTGCCACCGGGAGAGGGGCGACAGGCTGCTGCGCGTCAAAGGATACCAGTCACCATCCTCACGGTTCAAACGACACCCCGCCGCGGGCAATGCCGTTAGGAGACTAAAGTGGGAGTACATGAACAAAACACAACAATGACGGTAGACTTTGAAGAATGTATAAAGGATTCACCCAGATTCAGGTAAGGCTTCTCTTTTCATCATCATCACAGCGGTGCGCAAAAAATGGCACACCTTCTTTTGTAGGATTTCCCCCCCATAAAAACCTTGACGGCAAATCGCCAGGCTCTTGACGATTTTGTTGTGGCATCAGTAGGGAAAATAAAAAAAAGATGTCATAATTTATGTCTGATTCACACATGTGCAGGAAAAAGATGGCGTTAGTCTGTGCATGTGTCATTCTCATGCAGTTTGTGCACAAATATTAAATTAAAAACAAATTAAAATCTCATGAGTGCTTTTTTCTTTAGACTGATGCATGTTTATGAGTCTATCAATAGCTAATTCCTGTGTGATGGGTTCTTAATATGTTTTAGGTATATGTCAAAGGCTCAATGCCATGTTCAGAGAGGAACCATTTTGCCTGCATGTAAATGTATTTTCTATATGTGTCGTCATTAAGTGTCATATAGATTCATAGTGTGTGAATGAGCAGATACTCCTATGTTGCAGCATGGTGAGGGTGCAGTCTTGTTCTATTCATAGTAAAGGATGCAGTCACAAACTGTGTGGAGGGGAGATGCTTCGGCTGCAGGTTGGTGCGCAGGCGGCAGGTGAAGGAGCAGGAATGCATCTCTTGTTTTGGATTTAGCTATTTAGCTGCTCTTGTTTGCCTGCTGAATGACCTTACTCGGTCCATGTGCCAGTCTTCTGCTGCAGAAGCTGGCGGGAAAATAGTAGAGGAGATTCTAAAGAGAAAAAAAAGTTGGTCAGGGATCCCATTTTCATCCTCAGTTATGTCAGTTTTACTGCAAAAGATTATATCATATCTCACAGGTTTGTAAGTGTTTTCTTCTCTTCTGTTTTCCCATGGCAGCTGCTTTCTATTTGCTTTATGCTTTTGTGATCTTTCATAGTTGTTTCCCCATCTCTTCGTATGCTTGAGTATTTGTGGACATCTGCTGACTAGTCAGGAAGACAGACATGAAATCTGCTCTGCTGCTTGAATCTCTCGTTGATGGTGATAGATGCCTTGGACAAAAGGTCGGGAAGTGAAGGAGAAGCGGCACAGACTCAGACACTTCCCTGTTTCTCTCCTGCTGAATCTTCCAATCTTTATGAAATGAGGGTAATTTGAACATTTCCACAAAGCCAAAAGGAAGCAAGATTTTCTGTTTCAGTTGGTTATGGAGAAGGACACATGCAATTGTAACTGACATCCTGAAATTACATTAATTAGGCTTTCTATTAGTATATTGCTCGTATATTTTGACATTTTGGTGAAGTCTAATCCTGGTTTTGATCACACCGTTTCCCCCTGGAGAGTTGTAGATCTATTATTTTGGTTCTCTTTGCGTCTGCCAACTACACGATTAGAAATACAGAGGGATAATAGAAATATTAGATCAAAGGGGACATCTGATCATGTAAAAAACAGTAGTTTCAAAAAAGCAGATTCCAGTGATGCAGCATAACAAAAGATACTGAAATATGAAATCATTATCCAAAAGGACAGCTGTGACACTGAGCAGAGACTTCATAGACCACTATAGGGAGCCTAAGTTATCTACTTCTGGACCATGGGTCCCCAGAAGAATGAAAAAAGAAATGCAAGTCAATGGAGCTAAAAATGCAAATTTCTAATCCCGTTTGTTATGTGCTGTGGATTTCACTTATACTCATTTTGATACCAAGAACACACTTTTCGAACGGGGTCAAAATACATCCAGGACTACAAACGTGCATCACCAAAGTGGCGTCATCGAACCAGACACGAAGAAAAGAAGAGGTAAAATGGCTGTAAGTTCAGCGAACTTCCAGTCCTTCCTTCAGGAGGACAGAACCACCATAAATCTGGTCATTTCGTAACAAGCAGCTAGGGGAGAGGAGATTCTGTTGTGATGTCATATGTGTGATGTACTGATTAGAGCTAGACCGATGTTATTTTTTTTAAGGCCGATACCGATTTTTAAAGATTTTTGTTGCAGATGGCCGATATCTAAAAGTGATTATTAAGGCTGATATCTATCTATCTATCTATCTATCTATCTATCTATCTATCTATCTATCTATCTATCTATCTATCTATCTATCTATCTATCTATCTCTCTCTCTCTCTCTCTCTCTCTCTCTCTCTCTCTCTCTCTCTCTCTCTCTCTCTCTCTCTCTCTCTCTCTCTCTCTCTCTCTCTCTCTCTCTCTCTCTCTCTCTCTCTCTCTCTCTCTTTCTGTATGTATGTGTATATATATATATATATATATATATATATATATATATAGTAGTTGTCCACACAGGTGCCTGGTTTTATTCAGCTTTTAAAAATATTTTCAGCCGATATAGAAAAAATGGAATATATCGGTCGGCCTCTAGTACCAATGTCTGATTTGTAGTCATGCTATTTACAAACTTTTACAAGCTGATAAATCTCAAAGTAAGTGACTGGCGTGATCGAAACACACTTCATTACTTTTCATTCTAATAGAAGTACAACATATCTACGATCCAGGGTGTAAGGCAAAGCGGATTAGAAAATAGCTCCAATAGCTCCATTGACTTGCATTCATTTTGTCGCTGACCGGAAAGGGAGGAGACTTAGGCTCCCTGTAAGTGCCTGTTTATCTTAACACAAAATGACCTGGAAGTATCTTCTTTTCCCTTTTAGTAAAACATCTATAAACTCACATCTTTAATCTTATTTTGAAAAATGTTTGCCATTAAAACTGGTTCTGAGAGGGACACAGCTAGGTAATTGAAGTTGAATCTAGCTCCCTGTTGTGTCACTGTGGAGGAGCGGGAGCTGAAAGGGCAGCAGAAAACCAGTTCTGTCTAAAGCAGATCACATGCACCCCCGTTCTGCACGTCTGAACTTGTACCAGTGGTGTCGTTGAGTATGCATGACTGGGAGAACACCAAAGAGCGTTTTATTGTGTTTTCATTACAAAGCATCTTTTCTTCCGTCTCTTATTGTGCTGTTCTGTTTTCCGTCCTGTCCCCTTTTAAGTGGTCACCTGCTGCAGTCGTTCTTTAGATTCAAAGCATGTGATGGTGAGGTCTGGGTCCCTTTAAAGTTTCTACTATCTGATTTTCTTGAGGCATGTTCTTTCACACACTAACCCCTTCAGTTTCATTTCTAAACGCTGCAAAACAAAACAACACCCAGCGGATAAATGCACAATCGTATAATGTTCTCCTAACGTGCTCTGATATTTCATTGACTGTAACTATTAATATGCATTTGGGTGGGTGTTAGCTGTTGCCTAGCAACAGTAGGCGTTCGCTGCATGGCTGAGAGATGGGGAAAAATTAGGACAGGAAATTTAAGAATGGAAGAAAGAGTGAGTGGGTGCAGATATGAGAACGTCATTTTAGTGTGGCCTGTAATGTAGCTGTGTCTGTGTGTACATTTACATACATAGAAAATTTATTCGTGCAATTTTTAAGGTTAAATACATTTTAAGTCTTTAAAACCATTTTTCATTTACTATTTCTGATCATAATCGGTCACTCTGAGTTTTTCTTGCAGGGTGAACATGAAAACAGTCTCCTACACCTGTCTCCTGCTTTAGCTTCTGATAGAAAATAGATGGTTAAGTGTTGTGATTTGAAAACCCTCACATATCTATGTCACAATGGGAATTTACATTTATGACCTCGCCCATCTTGGCTCACATCACAGGAAGGCGTTTATTTATTTATTTATTTATTTATTTATTTATTTTGATGCAAGGAGAGAGAGCGTAAAGTGTCTTGGTGGCAGTGACTTTGCAACGTAGCTGAACACGTTCTGTTAGCCAATCAGAAGCAAGGTGTGTGCATATCTTTAATAATAATGAGTAATCCTGCCGTTTTCAGTCCACCCCTGCACCAGAAAACTTCTTCAGCTCAGAACAAAAGCATCATAGCTTTTTCTATAACTCAAGGCACTGATTTACACTAGGGAACACTGCGAATGGATTGAATAAACGAGTAAATCACACCTTTAAAGTAACTCATTGAAGAAACTGCTAGATTCTGGCTTGATTGAGGTGCTAACAGCTAGTCAAAATGAAACCAAAGTGGATTACAGTGATGTTAAAATAACTCTAATGTCAAAGATGAATGCCATATACCGTTTTGTAAACTTTTAAATACTAGTTGTAACACTTCTAGATCTAGTGTATCTCCTGGAATAGCTGTGTAAAGCGAAATGAACAGTGATGTGAAAGTTTACAAAACAGCTGTAACATGCTTTTAATTATTTTAAAACAGCATTCATTTGCTTTATCAACTTTAACTAGTGGTTAGCATGTCAATCCAGTCAGAACTCATAAGTGAGGTGATTCAGAGATTTACCAGCAACAGGTAAGATATTAATTCTTCCCAATCTTCCATAAAAATCAACTTCCTAGCCTTTTTTCCTTGAGGACCCCTTGCCCATGTCCAAGACATGCCAGGTTACCCAAACCCAACTCCTACCCACATACACACATTAAAATTTACAAACTTTATGCAAACTTACAGAGGCATAACTTTTGAGTATTGTGTATGCTATTGGGTGTCTTATTAGGATTTTATAATTGTAATTTTAATTTATTATTGATAACCATGTAAGTTGCAACCTCAGCACAGACAAAATTGTGGAGAATCCCTTTGATTTCTATTGACCCCACATTGGGAACCACTGTGCTAAAGTACTCCTGTTACTTAATTTTCATTCCTAGCATGACATTTCATATAATTTTGAACCATGATTATTGAAGAGCATGGCTGAGTACTCCTGAACTGGATTTGTAAAGCGCTGTATAAAAAGAAGCTTTTTAGCAGCTCTAATGAGAGATTTTCTACATTACTTTAAAAGCACGTCTCCATTTATTGGCAGATTAAAGAGCCTTTTAATGCTTCAGATGTCTGTCTGGCGCCCTGCTTTCTTTGAACTGTCTGGATATTTATTCCCTACCTGCATCACCATCATCCTCACACCTCTAATCCTCAAAATGTTCTCACTTTTTTTGTCTAGATAATGAATTCCTTCCTATTGGTCAGC